CCCAGAATTCCTCAGCCAGCTGGCTGAGGAATTCTGGGAGTTGAAGTCCACAAGTCTTAAAGTTGCCAAGGTTGGACACCCCTGAACTAGACAAAGATAGTTTTTCCCCTGTAGTGTGCCGTCACTCTGCTGAACACTTAATTCCCACAGCACTGTCTCATTTCTCATCTTTCTTACTATCTTGTATTGGTTTCTTACAATTTATCAATTTTTATTTGTAACACGGTTAATGATTATAACTATGATTTATGATTTATGACCTATTACTTGCTGTTTATATGTACATTGAACGTACATACCAGAAACAAATTTCTTGTGTGTCAAATCGCACTTGGCCAATAAACAATTCTATTTTATTCTTGTGATAATAAGCATAAAACATTGTGCAATTGCAAAATATTGTATACATAATATATTACAATATATGCATTTACAATATAATACTGTATATTGGTTTACCAAAAAAAAAAAATCCACTGTATCAGTGCAGGCTAGGTGAAACTTGGCTTCATGCCAATAATTGTGAGGGGGATCTTGGAGTCCTAGTGGCCAATCATTAAAACCAACAGTATGCAGCAGCAGCCAAAAAAGCCAGTGCAATCCTAGGTTGCATTAATAGAGAGACAAAATCAAGATAACATGAAGTTATGGTACCGCTTTACAAAACCTTAGTAAGTCCATACTTGGAGTACTGCATCCAGTTCTGGTCACCACAATATCAAAAAGATGTTGAAACTCTGAAAAGAGTGCAGAGAAGAGCCACAAGAATGATTAGGGGCTGGAGGCTAAAACATACAAAGAACAGTTACATGAATTGGATATGTTTAGTTTAATGAAAAGAAGGTCTAGGAGTGTTCCAATATTTGAAGGGCTCCTACAAAGACGGGGGGTCAAACTATTTTCCAAAGCACCAAAAAGCAAGATGAGAAACAATGGATAGAAACTAATCAAGAAGAGAAGCAATCTAGAACTTAGGAGAAATTTCCCAATGGTGAGAGAAATCAACCAATGGAACAGCTTACCTTCCAATGTTGTGGGTGCTCCATCATTGGAGGCTTACAAAAAGACTGGACAATCATTTATCTGAAATAATATAAAGTCTCCTGCTCAAGTCGTGAATTGGACTAGAAGACTTCCGTGGTCCCTTCCAACTCTATTATTCTATAGTCTATGTTTTGTATTGAAAAGCAAATGTCATTTATGACTAAGGTAGAAATTTGATTGGCACTCATGTAAGTCATGTATTTATGTTGGTTTAGATGAAATAGATGGAGGCATACATATTTTGTCCTTTTAAAAATTTGGGTGAACTTCTTCAATTAGATGTAACAAACAGACCTAACCAGTCAGTGTCAGATCTGCCTCAACTTGAACCTTTAAGCAAGAACAATCCTTGACTCCATTTGTTGAGAAAGGTCAAGTGAAATACAGTAGAGGAAAGCCAGACCTGAAAAGCATGTGCCAAAATCCCCAAAAGTAACTTTTCCCCCTTTAGGTATATTCCTATGCTGGGTCCTATTGTCCAATCAAACTCAAAGAGATTATTTTTGGAATGGTAGCTGCATATGTGGAATGCAGTTGCAGTCTGTTCTCAGCCATTTGATCTTGAAGTTGCATCTCTGGAAGATACAGTGAACTTGTTACCCTGAATTCTCTCCCTTCCCATCTAGTCTCCCCAGAGTTCATGGCAAACTGGCACATGCAATAGCAGAGCATAAGCATGAAGCATAACATTCAATTGCCTCCTTTGGAAAAAAGGTTAAACTTGGAAAAGAAAGTAAGAGCAAGGTTATTAATATATGGCATTCACTGTGACTTGTGAGGGTACAGGGTGTGAAATTTATGCAATAAATTTGTTTGTACATGTGGCACAGCCACCCATTCGGTATCAGAAGCGGGTAAGTGTTTCCTTAGAATTAGATATTGGAGTTTGCCTCTATGGAGGTTAGACTCTAGGATTTCCTTGACTTCAAAATGTTGCTCACCTTCAAAGAGAATGGGGGTGGGGGCAGTGTGGTTTTCTGTTGATGATTGCAAAGGTGAAGTTGAGTAATAAAAGGGCAGGTTACATTCCTGTTTAATCCTCATGAGTAGCGATGAGAATCCCCAAATTACCATTATTCTGCATGAAGCTTCATTATCAGCTGAAGGACTCTGTGTGTGTGTGTGTGTGTACATGTGTGTACATGTGTATGTTTGTTTGTGACTACATATGTGTGGACTGCTATCAACTGTCATCTACCACAGATTTTGGCATTCACATGATAGTCAATGCACAAAAATGGATCAGCACATATTCACTAACAGCAGACGGAGTAAATCATAATCATACTATAAGATTAATTTCTATGTAAACTTATAGAGAATTAAACTCATAGATTTCTATAAGAATGATAACTTAAGAACTGAAATTTTGCAAGAGTTCTCCAAATGTAGGCACATTGCTGCAATAATAGTATGATACACTAAAAAAAAGGAGTGAACAATATGTATCTTACCACACATTCACTACAAGAGTATTTCTAATGCAGAAAAGAACTTAATATGAAAAAAGTTAATTGATGATACTGTTGTATATAATGGATAATGTCACTTAAAGAGATGACGTAATAAGACAAAAGGTTTAAAACTGTACTTATATTAATAACAGAGCCAGCACTGAGTTAGGAAGAGGAAATATGTAAGATGTAATAAGAGCATACCAAACTACCAACACAAAGTAGAAAATTACAAAATGAACCAAATTAATGGTGTATAAGATCAATAAAATAGGAAAGATTATTTTAAAAACATGTTTTGAATAAAAGTGTTGGAAAAGAAGATCCATAGGAAGAAAGTAAAGCAAAATAAAAGAGCAGAGTGAATGATGAGCAAATAAAAGAAATAACAACTAAAGTACACTATCATGAAATAAGTTATGTGACACTGACAATAATAAAACATGGTCACTTGAAACAAATATTAAAATTATCTTCAATTCCCAAAACTCAGTGGTGGCTTGTTTGCTAAAATCACCCGAACACAATTCACTTGACATATAATTCATTATCTACCTTGTATCTCCATCCCTTCATGGCATTTTATATACACAGATAATCTTTTCTTGTTATTCACTGTGTCCCCAGAATCAGAATCAATCAGGTCCCCAGAAACTGAGAATTGAATGTTTGAGTCCCTAAATCTGCTTCATTCCAGTCTCCTTTGCATCTCATTTTATTAGCAGATATAGTCCATGTTTATTTCTATCCTTTTCTTTCATTTCTAGTTTTATTTTGTTTCGCTGATAATATCTCCCTAGATCTCTTATGTGTCTTGTGTTGCTGTCCAACTTGCATGCCTTGTTTTGTCCTAGAGAGAAGGCTTATGACAAGGATGAAGAACAGCCAGTCATAGAGCCTGGTACAGAGGATGAGAGGGAGGAAGAGGCTACGGGGCAGGTCAATGCCAGGTACTAGGATCATGGTCCCAGTAACATCATCAACATTTATTGAAACAACCAACAATAAACATTTGCAATATTACAGTATATTGCTAGAATATGCATTTTACTAAAATTAAACCCACACATAATTGTACATGTATTGGTTTGTAACCAGATTTAATTATGGTTAAAAGTATACCCATGTAAAATGGTCATGATTGACTTGTTCCATTGGTTTCAGTGTTTTTACTTTACCATAATTCAATTGGAATAAATCTATTTCTTAATTGTGTATTCTTTTTAACAAAACAAAAGCAATGGAAGAAAATTGGGTTTCCTAAATTCCTCAGTATAACTAGGACAAAAGCTTGCCAGAACCAAGATGTTTCCCTCCTCCCTTTTTCATTGATATTTGGTTTGTTTTCTCTTTTAATTCCTCATCTCTAATAGAGCTTCTTTAACAGAGCAACTATAGTACTGCAAAACTCCCAAATTTGCCAACTTTACTTCTATGGTGGACCTTTTTCTCTGATAGCGGGGGGGGGGAGCATAATATCATTTCGCTTTTGCAATACTTTCATAGAAACAATTGTACCCTTGTTTTTTTAAAAAAATATGAAGATAATAGTTACTATTTTTAATAGGAAACTACTATATATATATATATATATATATATATATATATATATATATATATATTCTCCCAAATATTGTGTGTCAGCTGACACCATCTGAATGTTAGATGTTATTTTCTGGAATTCTCTAGTATTTCTAAGTGGGAAAGGCAAACTTATAAATACCACAGTGAACTTACTTGGGGAAGTTTTCTTCAAGGACATGAATAGATATCACAGTTTCAATAAACACCAGTATGCCCATGGTATTTCCTACCTGACCTTTATAAAATGCCTTTTAAACAAAATTGATAGGGGAAGCTGATATTTAACAAATAAAAGTGCTGTCCTTTATAAAGATTAAATTAAAGATAGCTATAGCCTAGTGGTTAATTTTTACCTTCAAAAAAGAAGGTGGGATTTAAAAACCGTTTTGGAAGTAGTAGATAACTTAAAGCCATTGGGTTTGGTGATTAAAGCACCAGCTAAAAACAAGAGCCCGAGTTCTGCTCCTTCTTTGCTGGATGACTTTTGCCAAGTTTCTCCCAGCTTTTGGAAAAGGGCAATGGCAAACCACTTAAGAAAATGTTACCAAGAAACTATATAGATTTTTCCAGAGATTACCAGGAATTGAGACCAACTATCTTGTTAAAAAGAGTTCTAGAAGTAAGGAGAAATTTCTGGCCAAATAATTAATCAATGGAATAGCTTGTGGAATGTCCATCAATGTAGGTTTTCAAAAATAGATTGGACAACCATTTGACTACAGTTGTATAAGGTCTCCTGCCTTGAGCAGGGGATTTGGATTAGAAAACCTCTGAGATTGCTTCCAGCCCTATAATTCTATGTTCTAGAAAGGGGTGCCAAACTGGTGGCAGGCCAGACCCACCCCAGCTCCGCAAAGGGGGAAAACGTCACATGACAGCAATATGACACAGCAAGTTTGACACCTGTGTTCTAGAATAAACCTTACAAAAACTTTACCAATTTCCTTTCTGTAAAGTATTTTATTATTTATCTCCAGCAGGGATGGAAAACAATGGCCCTTTTTTGATTTGTGAACTTCAACTCCCAGAATTCCTGAGCCAGCCATGTTATCTCAGGAATTCTGGGAGTTGAAATCCACAAGTCGTAAAGGAGCCATAGTTTTCCACCTCTGGACTACAGAACATATCACATGAGACATTTTTTGAACTGGCAATCTGAAATACGTAGACATTTTATGAGAGTGTCCATAACATGATTTTGAAATAAAAAAGTCAATTCTAACAAGAGTTCTCTCTGTCTTCCTGACAGATAAATAAGTGTATAAGTAAATTTCTACTATATACTACTACTATCTCTTTGCTTTCAGCATAATCTGTTTTTGAGATACTTGCATAATACAATTTCTCTTCTTTTTTTACTTTTCCTTATCTGTCTTTTCAATCTAGTGGGTTCTCAGAAATACGGAAGGTTAAACATGCTCCACAGAATTCTGATACTTCAGTCATCTCAGGTGTTATTTCTCAGGATGAAAGGCTTCCCATGAACTGTAGAACAAATATTTCCAGTAGCTCATCATCCCTTGATTCAGTTGCTTTGCATCCTTTTTCTCATCATTCATCACCCTCCTCATCTTTCAAAATTATTTCCCAAAATTCATCATGTATTACTCCAAAGACATCTCCAAATGTTGAGAAATTACCTTATTTACCACATAGTCCCTTTCACCTGTTCTCTTATGATGTTGAAGAGCCTCAAACAGCAATGAAAGAAAAGGAGGCAGAAGAGTTCAGAGAAAACAGGTAATTCTTTCTTTCTTCCTCCCTCCCTCCCTCCCTCTCGCTCCCTCCCTTCTCCCCCCCCCCTCTGAAATAATAATCCAATATTTACTTATTTATACAGATAAATAGAATAGCCAAGGGCTGGCAAAAAAGCAGTGGGAATGGAAGTGACTTCCAACTTTCTGCCAGCTTCCTCGTTGCCTTTGCTTGTAGGATGCTGGGAGGAAGCACATAACTACAACAATCACATGACTATAAGAATGCTAAAATGGCTGCAATTTGGAAATAGAACTAACTTAACCTGATGGAAATTTCAATTCCAAAGGAGTCATGGATTCCAGATAAATTAGCAGCTTTTAGATACTTAATTCGAAAATTGTTGGGAGTGTAATGCCTCCTTTAGACTAACCCAAGGGTACAAATAGATCAATACAGTGAGAGTTTTTGTAGTATCATAGGATTGTTATTGTGAGAAAAATAAGAGGAGGAAGTAGTACAGTATTGTGTATATTACTTATAAAGTAATAAAGGCAGGATTAAAAAAATTAAATATTGATAAATAATTTAAATGTTTTTAACTATCTGTATTTAAGCATGCTGTTTTTGTGATATTTACTAAAAATTCCAAGTTGAAGTCTGCACATATTTATTATTCAGATCAAATTCATTTTTGAATCTACTGAATATGCACAAGAATTTCATCTAAATTTGATGAACTATCTTCTGCCTTCCTCATATATCCATTATGGAGTAGAATATCTAAAATTGCCTAATATAAGCAATCTGAAATGTATAGGTCAATACAATAGTGTTCTCTATTGCCCCATAAAGGCTGATGGGAACTAATGGGTGAAATTGCACAGAGATTAACCTAAAACATAATTACCGAACTGGTATTAACACTGGTTGAATCCCACCCCTGCTTAAAACAATAATGATAATATACATGATTGAAGATACGTTTCTAAGTCTCAGTAACCATATAATTGGTAACTTCTATCAAATTGGTGGCCCACATCCATATTATAATAATAGCAAAACCACTTAGACTTATATACTGCTTCATACAAGAGTTACTTTTAGAAATACAATTAGAAATTACATTATTCACGTGGAATGAATATCAAAGAAATAGGAACATTAATTCTTTACTAAATTAGTGAAACAATGACTTAGCAAAAAGTAATGAATAAATTCCTTTTCTTAATTTACTTAAAGCACTATTCTTATTTAAAATCTAAAATCCAGTCAGAGGATATACAATTGCTCATTCATTTTTTAGTAAGAGCTAGGAAATCATTGTATTTTATAAATAAGAAAGGAAACAATACTATTTAGAGGTACAATAACTGATGAAAGAATAGTCTGCAGTATTCATGATTTAATTAACAAAATTTCTTTAGAAAAATATAGTGAAGGTGATAGTTTATTTTAAAACAATGAATATTTCTACTTCTCAGATCAGAACAGAGCTGGAAACATCCTTAGAGATCTTCTAGTCCCACCTCCTGTTCAAGCAGGAGACCCTATACCATTTCAGATAGATGGCTGTCTAATGTTTTTTTTTAAACCTCAGTGATGAAGCTGTTACAATTTCTAAAGGCCATCTGTTCCACTAGTTAATTGTCCTCACTGTTAATTTCTCCTTAATTCCAAGTTGCTTCTCTCCTTGATTACTTTCTGTTGTTTCTTGACTTGCCTTCTGGTGCTTTGCAAAATAAGTCTACCTCTTCTTTGTAGCAGTCCCTCAAATACTGGAATACTGCTATCATGTCACCCCAGTCCTCTTTTCTCTATATTTGCCCTACCCAATTCCTCCAACTTTTCTTCATACTATTTTGTCTCCAGGTCCTTAATCATCCTAGTTGCTCTTTGCACTTTTTCCAAAGTCTCCAATGGTTTTTTTTATGTAGTGATCAAAATTGGATACAGTATTCCAGATGTTTTATTAAGACTTTATAAAGTAGTACTAATACTTCATGTGATTCTGATTCTGTTCCTCTGTTTATCCAACCAAGAATTGTTTCATGAGTTTCATCCCACCAAGTTTCATTGATGACAACTATATCATATCTGCCTTCATGTACTAATACTTCCAGTTCACCCTGTTTGTCCCCTAAACTTTGAGTATTAATGTATATGCATTTGACTCCTTTATGTATCTTGTATTTGTTTCTTATATCTCCTACTTTGTAACTGAGATTTTTCTTTTCTTTTTTTATTTCTTCTTTCTCTTTACTCCCTATCTCCTTATTGATTGGTTATCTAGTAGTTGCTTGGATTAAGGTTCTAAAGGTCGTGAACATTGGCCCCTCTCCCCCCTCAATTTTAGTTTAAAGTCCTTCTGATAAGATGAGCCAGTCATTTTACAAATATATTTTTTCCAGTTCTTATGAAGTGCAGTCCATCCCTTGCCAGTAGCCCTTCAAGTAGGTAATGCAAACCATGGTCTAGGAAGCCAAAGATCCATTGACGACACTAGTTTCTAAGCCAGTGGTTCATTTCTAAAATCCTTTGCTCCCTCATTGAATGTTTGCCTTATGTTGGAAGTATAGATGAAAACACCTCTTGTGCTCCTAAGTCTTTAACTTTTTTCTCTAGCTGTTTGTAATGTCTTATTATTGTTTTCAGATTCAGTGTTGTGCCATTGGTCCCCACATGAAGGAGAAGAAAGGGTAGTAATCTATGTAGTTGATTATTTTAGTAAAATATTCAGTTACATCTTTGATTTTTGCTCCAGGGAGACAATATAGATTTAGATTTATTGCAGACTATAGTTTTTGTTCCCCTAAGAATTGAATCTCCTATCATCAATATTTGCCTTTTTTCTCTAGAGAAGTCTGGTATATTTTTTTTCCTGTTGCAAGAATGCTGGGTTGCGCCTCTTTTTTAGAAACTCTTGGTGAATGCTCTGTTGTGAGTGTCCACATATTTTCTTCCAGAGGGAGGCTATGAAAGTGATTGTTCAGTTCCAGAGGGGTTTCATTGGAGTGGGCTAGGATATCTAGTAAGGGTAAGGTCTTTGCCCTTAGTTGTTGCTTCTTCTAAAAATGACATGTTTCCATCGGTCTTGCTCTTTAGGTGCATATGTAGGGTCGTTTTTTTATGGAAGCTGTTTGTTCTCTATTGTGTTTTATTTTGGTGTAGTCTTCTTGTTTAGGTTGGGATTTCTTGCTTTGTTCATGGAGTTTCAGAGTGGCTAGAATTGCTTCTAGACCTGTGGTGGCAAACCTATGGCATGTGTGGTGGCACACAGAACACTCTCTGTGGGCACACGTGCCGTTGCCCCAGCTCAGCTGCACCATGCATGCGTGCACGCTTCCCACTGGCCAGCTGGCCTTCAGGTCTCTGCCGTACCTGCACAGGAGACAGGGCGCACGCAGGGGTGCATGTGGGGCCACACATGCACGGGGGCATACGAGTGCACAGTGGGGCCATGCACCTGCATGAGACAGCGTGTGAATGTGGGAGGGCCTTGCATTTTGGGTATGCACACATATGCTTTGGGCATATGGGACCAAAAGGTTCACCATCACTGCTCTAAACCTTTTAGTTTTTCTTCTAGTAATTCAAGTAGTTTACATTTGATATATAGATACTTTGGGTCTTCTGTGGACATAAGCTGAAACATATGATACACTTTGCAAGTCACTATAGTGTCAGTCTCTATTTCCATGACATTTTTCTTTGTTAATTTTTTTTAATTCTAGAAATTACATATTTTTCCTATTGCAACATGTCAGTTTACAAGAGTTCTTGGTCTTTTGTTCTTTGTCTTGAAAATTAAAAATTTTAAAATTTTAAAAATTTAAAAAAGTATTTAAAATTAAAAATGATATTTAAGAGTTGAAAAAAGAAAAGAAATTAAATTTTTTGAAAAAGGGTTTTTAAAAAAAAGGAATTTATAGGTTTTAAAAATTTAAGAATTTACAAGAGTTCCTGACCCTTTTTGAAGTAATATGCACTTCTTTTGGGGGCTGGGAATTTTGGGCAGTTTTCTAGGAGATGCTTTGCTCTTAGTCCTCTATTCCCTGCCTTGGAAATTTATTCCTTTCCTTCCTGTTTACAAGTGTGTACTGATCCTTTTTTCCCTGCTTTGTTGCTCTTTGGTTGCCTGGCCAGGTATTTTCAGGTACGATGTGCTGATGTGGGCACTCTGCTTAGGTGATCCACCACATTGCTCTCAGCTGTTACTGGTCTGACAGCCGTACTGCTGTCTCTCGCTGCTGTGGGCACTGCTGCTCAGTTGGTCCTCTGCGCTGCTCTCAGCTAAGCCATTGCTGGTCCATCATGCTGCTCTCAGTCGCTACTGTGAGCACCACTGCCCAGTTGGTCCCCTGTGCTGCTCTCAGCCGTTGCTGGTCCATTGTGCTGCTCTTAGTCACAGCTCTGGTCACTTCACTCCTGTGTCATGTACCTCTGCGCCGCTGCTGCTCCAGGTCTGCTTTGTTGCTCACAGCTGCTGTTCTGCTACCACCTAGCTCCATTTCACCATTGCTCGGGGGGCCTCCATTTGCATCACACTGCCTCCACTCAAATGTCACGGCTGCACTATCAGCTCAGCTGCTGCCCCTTCTCTCAAATGGGTCACCAGGACACCTCTCAGTTGGGACACTAAGCTGCCTCTCAGCTAGGCCACCTATCAACTGGACTGCCTCTCAGTTGGGCCATGTCAGCTGTGCCACTTTTCACCTCTGTTGTAGGAGTACAAGTTCTCTTTTTGTTCCCTTCTGTAGCTAATCTTGCTCTCTTGATATAACTTGTAATCCACACATGTATTGAAAATGACAGATGAATAAAATTTGCAAAGTAAAACAAAGCACATGTATTACAAATGACAAATGAATATGAAAGTAAAACAAAATTTCAGCTTAAAAGAAAAAAATAGTATCTCAGTTGAAAGTTAAAAAAAAGAAATATCAGCTTGTTAGTGTAAAAATATTATATATACTTAAACACACATACACACACACACACACACACACACACACACACACACACACACGGAATAAAAAGATAATACAAGGCAGTCCACAAAATATTTAAAACATATTTAAAATTTGTAATTCACAAAAGAAGGTAGAATGATAATTGTAGTTCAAGGCAATAAAAGCAGTTCAGGGCAATTAAAGTTTACCATCTAGGCAATAAAATGTATGATCTTATATAAATTGTATGATATACAATTTAATATAATATACAATTTATATAATAATATATAATATATAGCAATAGCACTTAAATGTATATTCACAGTGCTTTACAGCCCACTCTAAGCAGTTGCAGAGTCAGCATATTGTCCCCAACAATCTGGGTCCTCATTTTACCAACCTCAGAAGGATGGAAGGCTGAGTCAATCTTGAGCCGGTGAGAATCGAACTGCCAAACTTCTAGCAGCCAGCAAGCAGAAGTAGCTTGCAGTACTGCATTCTAACCAGCGGGTTACCATGACTCAAATATATATAGTATACATGACTTAATTAACAAAATTTCTTTAATTAGGAAAATACAATGAAGGCAATAGTTTATTTTAAGACAATGAATTTTTCTACTTCTCTTATAGGACATCTTTGGGTGGTCTCCTTACATCATCATATAGGCAACACCAAGAGTCCTTGGCAGTAGAAAGAGAACGGAGACGTCAAGAGAGAGAGGAGAGGCTGCAAAGAATAGAACGTGAAGAGAGAAACAAATTCAAGTAAGCAACAATTCTTTAATCGGTTTTTACCTTAATGAATGTGATAGATTTAAAAAATATTTGCTACCTATTAATATCTCCACATTGATTTGTATTTTTCCATCTAAGAAAACTGGGAACTCGCCGTAAAATCTCAAGATTAGATTTTATAGTCATACAAGGCAACTGAGGTATGTGTGAGAGAACACACACACACACACACACACACACAGAAAGAGAGAAGGGGGGGCGAGAGGGAGAAAGAGAGAATATAAAAGTGTGTATATATGTATGTATTACTTGCTTAGGAAATATGTTTAAAATTTGCATTTCTCAATGGGAAGAAATTCTAATTCTTAGGGTAAAAGATTTTTCTGATTAGAGTAACATTCAATAAGTTTGAATATACATAAAAAGCTATCTTTAACATGTCCCAACAAGGATTTCAGATATAAAATTTGATATAATGTCATTTAATAATAAAACTAAATATGAATAACTGCAAATGGCTTTCATAAGAAAACCTGTGTGTCACTTCACATTCACAGTCAAAATTCACTGTGATTTTAAACATAATTTTGAATTGTATAATGTAAGAAGCTCTTAAAACTTTTATTTGAACACTTGAAAGGAGATGTTCTTTTAAAAGAATTATTCTAGTTTTCAGCAAGAAAATGAAACAACTCATTTCTCTTCCCGCATTCGCCATAACCACACAAGCTAGAAGACCTTTAATATGCACCAAGTGAACTCCAGGCTGGTTATTTTTGGTTCACAGTGCCATGCAGCTTTAGTTTTCTCCAGAAGAATATATAAAAATATATAAAAATGTAGTAAACAGTAATACAAATTCATTTTCCAACCATTTAGGACAACAAAAGCCTTCAGTGTGAATCTGATTAAGGTCCATCAATTTTTGACAGCAGTTGAAACAAGCCAAAGGTTTTAATTAATTAATTAAAGTCTCAGAACTAAGCTTGTTAACTTATGATTAGCATGTATTAGGAATGGCTACACTGCACCTCAGGGATACCTTATTTAAGCAATGTTTCCACTCTGTTGGGGGATCAAAAAAGAAAAAATAGGTTCAGCATAGGACACAGAACTTGATCCAAATGAGGGGGCAGCAACCAATGATCTTATCAACATTTCTGTCTCTCTCAGCCACTGTTTACTTAGCAGCCATTTTATTTAGTGACCAACCCATTGCAAGAAAACACAGTAGCTAAATAAGAGGGTATACTCAATCATGCTATATTTTCATGTAGAAAATGACTAAAGATTTAGTTGCTTTTAATTCATTTGCTCTTCCTTTGTCTCTTGCTTAATTTATTCTTTCTTGTTGTTTTTATTTTACTTGTAACTTTGTGCATATCTCTTTTTTAGTCAAAATTATCTAGATAAAAGAGAAGAGCTGAGACAAGCAAGAGAAGAGAGGTTTGTAGAGAGGTCTGCTTTTGGCTGCTTTGTATTTCTTATATCCATTATTAAGAGGTGCATGATTCTATAAACACACTTCTAACTAAACTTACAAAAAAGGACATGCATAGAAAATTGTTATATACATAAAAATAAAAAATGTAATTACTGAAAACTAAAAAAAATACATGAACTTGCTGTGTCCTTAGTATCTGTTCACCCTCATTACTGTATTTTGTTGTACAAGTAATGGATGCAGTATTGCCTCTAAAAATGTCGATTCATTTTATCTTCTCAACCATGGGTGACCAACTTTCATCAGCCCAAGAACCATTGAATACAGTGTTGACCATATTCCCAAAGTAGTCACAGTCAACTTTCAAAGTGGATTGAATACTTTTATTTTTTTTAAATTCCATTATTGTTGAATTCAGTCAGCCAATAGTTTAGATTCGGCATTCTTGTCCACCTATTGAGTTCTTCCCAAGGACTTAGGAAATATTGTTTAATCTTATTAAATATTTTGTTGCTTGATGTAAACTGTTTCAAATAAAACTGCCTTTTGCAATTGACTGAACGTAATTTTGTTACTGCTCATGGTGTTCAAGTGGTGCTCCAAATGTGTTGGAATTTCACTCACAGCACCATCACTTTTGCAGTTTTCTTTTCTTTTTTTTTTGCTAGTCAGTATTATTACCTATGGGTAATATACAATTAGATTGACAATCTAAGGCTGGTGAAATTTAGTAATTCATGTTCTAAGCAAGAACCTAAGGTAACATTTAATATAAACAGTTTCAAGCTGTTGAAAAGAGATAGGCTGCATTAATAGAGGAATAGAAGCAAGATCACATGAAGTATTAGTACCACTTTACAAAGCCTTATACTAACCACACTTGGAATACTGCATCCAGTTTTGGTCACCACAATAAAAAAAGATGTTGAGACTTTGGAAAAAGCGTGCAAAAAAGAGCAACAAAGATGATTAGGAAGTTGAACACTAAAACATAAGAAAAATGGTTGCAGGAATTGGGTATATTTAGTATTGTGAAAAGAAGGACTAGAGAAGACATGATAACATTGTTCTAATATTTGAGGGGCTGCCACAAAGAAGAGGTTTTTTTCCCCCAAAGCACCAGAATGCAATGGTTGGAAACTAATCAAGGAGAGAAGCAACCTAGAACTAAGGAGAAATTTCCTGGCAGTGAGAACAACAACCAGTGAAATGGCTTGCCTTCAAAAGTTGTGGGTGCTCCATCATTGGAGGCTTTTAAAAAGAGACCAGACAACCATTTGTCTGAAATGATACAGGGATTCCTGCTTGAGCAGAGGGTTGGACTAGAAGACCTCCAATATATCTTCCAAGCGTGTTATTCTGTAAATTCTTTCTCCCCAGTTGTTTTCACCTGTTAAGTCTTTTTCAGTTCTTAGCAAACCCAGTTGATCAATATCACTTTTTGGGTGCAAAGTATGGTGTGTTGTCATTTTTATTTTTGTCTTCTGATTCCAGTTATTGTTTAATCTGGGTCAGGGTTTATTATTATGTCATCATCATCATCATTGGTTCTTTTTGCATGACTCACATAAAGTAATAAGTTTATTGCAATGAATCCTATCCATGTCAACATCTTCAGCATCTTCCCATTTGATGTCCACTGTCCACAAGTTATATTTTAACATCTGATGCCAAGTTTTGCATGGTCTGCCCCACCTTCACTTTTCATCTGGCAGCTTCCATCGTACAGCATTTTTCAGGTATTGATGTTGTGGCCGGCAAAAAATATGGCCAGTTAAATCATTCGACATTTCGTCACAATGGCCTGCAATTTCCTGAATCCATTCCATTGCAAAATTTCTTCATTGGTGACATTGTCATGATATCCAGAATTCTTCATAAGTAATGCTGATGGAACACATTGAGATTTTGTGCTGTGCATGCTGTTATTGCCCATGTTTCACTGGCGTAGTTCGCTGTTGGTACAATGATTGTCTTCTAAAGCTGTAACTTGGTCTTCCTATCTTATTTTTGGAGCTGACCAAATAAGTCGTAAGTTGCTGAAGCTTTACAAGTTCTGTGTTTCACATCTACATCTGTGCTGCCATCTTATCTTGTGATAAGATGCTACTGAAGTATTTAAACTGTTGGCCATGTTTTATTAATTGTTGGCCAGTTGTGATTAGTCTGTTAGGAAGGTGACTCCCAATCAATATGACTTTGGTCTTATCCACACTAATACGTTGTTCTGCTTTTCTAGCCTCAGTATCTAAGTTGGTAGTCATGTCCTACAAGAAGGTACTCATTTCTGACAACAAATCAATATCAGCAGCAAAATCAAGGTCTGGGATCCTTGTGTGATTCTTCCGGGAAATTCCAGTGTTTGATCTATTCATTGCTTTCTGCAAAACAAAGTCTATGCAAGGAGAAATAAAAAGGGTGATAAAATGCAGATCTGTGTAATACTAGTCTAAATGTTAAAAAAGTTAGTGGCTCCACTATGAACCTTTCTTTACACAGCAGCTGTTATGATAGAGATTTTTGAAGATGTTAATAAATTGATCTGGGATTCTATATTTTCTAAAGATGTTCCACAGGGAGTTTTCACATATGATATCAAAAGCCTTCCTGAACTTTATAAAATTTATGGCAAGTGATCTCTGGAACTGATGTAATGCTCAGTAATGTTGCATAGTATGAGCATTTGTTCAGGGCATGACTGGCCATGATGAAACTCAACCTATTCCTCCTGCAGTATTTTACTAATTGCTGCTTGAGAGTGCCTAAGGAGAATAATTGAGAACGTGTTGCCAGATACAGGAAAAAAAGATACATTTTCTTGGAAATTTAATAGTAACCCCCTTACGCCAATTATCAGGAGTGCAGCAATACATGTTTAACAACCTGGTCATCTCTATCTCTGCCAGCTTTCAGGAGTTCCACTGGGATCTAGTCTAAGCCAATAGCTTCATTATTCTTCAGTGCTCTAACTGCATGTAAAACTTTGTAGGTTGCAATCATGCCCAATTCAATGTCCATTAATGCAATGGAATCAGCATTAATGAAATCATAGACCATACTGGAATTGGCTGGTTCAGGGTTTCTTTGAAGTGTTCTATCCATCTCACCTCTTGTTCTTCCTTTGTGAGCAAAAGTTTCCCATTCTTGTTTTTAATTGGAACATTAAGACTGACACTCACATTGGTTAAATCACAAACAATTTGGTGTAGTATCTATATCATTCCTATCTGATGCCTCTTTGGCTTCAGTATCCTGGCCTTCCAGCCACATGTACTTTTCGGCCCAGCTTAACCTGAGAGTCCTGTTCTCTGTATTTGTCCTCTGCTGCTCTTCTTTCAGTGTCTGATCCCTTTGACCTTATGCAATCCTGTGCTTGTCAGTGAGATTCCAGGTACCATCTTGAATCCATCATTCTCTCCATGAACCTTGATGTCCTATTAGTATGTCAATTACTATTGACAATGGCCTGTTTAAAATTACTATTGACAATGGCCTTGCAGTAACTATTGAAATGTGTTGGTCAATTTAAGTTGGAACTGGCAATTACTGCAGCATCCTTCAATTTCTTGGTTGCAAAAGGATGTGCTGTTTGACATAGTTGTATTTTCATGAACCTAAGTCGGAGTGATGCCATGACCAGATAATGGCCTGAGTTCACATCTGCACCCCAGTGAAAGTGTAAGTGAAGCAACACCAAGTGCCACTGACCACAAATGCATATACAGTGGAACTTCAGGTCGCGACCATAATATGTTCCAGGACTATGGTCACAACCCGATTTGGTCATGACCAGAAGCAAGACCGTCTGTGCATGCGCAGAAAAAGAAAAATGGCACTGAAGGGGAAATCGCTGTGGCTGTTCGCCACCCGAAGGTATGTTCGTGAACAGAAACAAAACTTTGCCAAAAAGTCTGGTCGTCACCTAATTTGGTTGCAAACAGAAATGTTCGCGACCCAAGGTTCCATTGTATAGTCAATTTCATTGCTCATGGAACCATCAGGAAAATACCCTGTTGCCAATGAATGTGCTTGTGCGCAAATGTGTTTCTGATACATAGAATGTTCATAAACACATTTGTATAGCCAAAATGTGTGGCCCAATGTTGTGTTTTATGCTATGTCTTTGTCCATCAATCTAGGTATTCAGGTCTACGATAACCAATTTGATGTCATGATTGGTAATATCATTAAGCATCCCTTGGTGCTGATTATAAAAGTCCTCTATCTGCTTCTTTGGCCTCCTCCATTGATGCATAGACCTGAATAATGATAAATTATGCATGGTGGGATAGGAAATAGGCTTCTACCAAATCAGCATATTCGACATCTTTTTTTTTTTTTTGTACAGCACCATAATCAAGGATGGATAAATGTTGCCATGCTGGTTTTGATCTGGTTTTTGGTTTCTACTTGCTTTTTCCAAAACAGTCAAGTTTTTACAGGGCAGATTGCTAGTCCTACTCCTAGCCCTCCTCCTTTATCTAGATTTTGGATTAGCAATAACCACTGCTGAGCTACTCAATCCAACCAGTGCCTACCACAGACAGAGTTATTATCTTATAAATACAATATATAGTTTTTTTCAGGAACCGAATATGTACTTCTCTGGGTAGTCTATTTCTCCTTATATAGTCTGTATGAACCCAAAAGGCTTCATCCATCTCTGATATTACTGCTTGCTTACTTCCAAGACTTCGGCCAACAACCCTTTCATTTTATCAGGGAGGTCTTCTCACTTCTATGTTTTGGAATCTTAGAAAATGTTCAGCTTTTTCCATTTCCAGGGATATTATTGATGCTTCCAGACCCTTGTCCTCTTGTGTTAATCTCTGATCCATTTCATTCAGTTTTTTTTCAGTTTGTTCTGATTTTTCTCCCACTTTTTAAATTCTTTCTTCATTCCTTATCAATATTTATTGGATGTTTTCTACTTTGTTGTCCATTTTCTGTATTTTTTCATGTAGTTTGGCCATTGACTCCTTTATTGATTGGAGCATCGCAT